CCCTCCTTTGTCACCGGTTGTCCTTTTTCCCTATACCACCCTTGAAAAAGACGTCATAAAATCCTGAACCCCCCTCCCCCTATTTTTAACTCCAAAAAAATTTATTTCATCTCGCAATGATGTTTGAATCTGCTGCTACACCTTTGAAAAATAAAATTAAAAATATTCTCATACACTATCTTCTTAAAAACACATGTTTATGTAGTTTTCCATGTTGATTAAACTAAAATAAATAACCTATAAGGTGACCATTTTAATGAAAATAGTTTATTTTACACAAAACAGTTTGGTTTTCAAAAAAACCATTTAACTGAACACGCAATAATTGAAATAGTAGACCAAATTACTAAAGGATTCGAAAACAGTTTACTCTAGGATTATTTATTGACCTATCAAAAGCATTTGATACGGTTGATCACCTCATTCTTTTAGAAAAAATTAAACACTACGGAGTAGTAAATAAAATCTATGATTGGTTAAAATGCTACCTCACTGAAAGAAAACAATATGTTATTAATAAGGAATCAGGTAAACTAAAAGTTATGTGTAGAATTCCATAAAGATCAATTCTTGGTCCCTTGCTGTTCTTGATCTATGTAAACGATTTGCATAATGCTTCAGCAAAACTTAACGCGACAATGTTTGCTGACGACAGAAATCTTTTCTTATCAAACAGTAACATTAAGCAACTTTACTCTGAAATGAATTATGAATTAAGGAATTTCAATGAATGGTTTAAGGCTAATAAACTGTCACTTAATGTAGATAAAACAAAGTATACTCTATTCCATAAAAAATTACAACAGGAAAACCTTCTCTTAAAATTACCAGATTTAATTTTAGATGATAAACTAATTGGAAAAAATGAGTCAATACAATTCTTAGGAATTCTTATTGATGAAAGTTTATCATTGCTTCCTCACATAAATTATATCCAATCAAAAATTAGTAAAATAGTTGGTTTGATGTACCGTGTTCGCCCAAGTGTAACATCAGAAAATCTGAAACTAGTATATTTTGGCCTAATACATTGTTTTATTTACTATTCTAATATTACATGGGCTAGTACTCAACCAACAAAACTTAAAAAAATATTTTCTCTACAAAAACATGCATGCAGGCTAATATATAAGAAAAAAAAAAAATGAACATGCAAAACCACAAATGAAAGACATGCAAGTGATGAGTATATATGAAATTAATATTTACCAACCCTTAATTTTAATGTATAAATATAATAACAGCCTGATTCTGAAAACCTTTAATAATAAATTTACGAAAAATGTTAACAATAATTACTCTCTTAGAAAAAGTCAATGGAATACATATAAATTGCCTAGAATTAGGAGCAAGTATTCTGAATATGGAATAGCATACCGTGGATCCAAACTATGGAACACATTTCAAAAAACCAAACATTTAAATACGGTAAAATTATTAAACTCTTTTAAGTTTCTAATAAAAAATGAAATTTTTAAACATTATAAATAATTTTGCAATTTTTCTAAACAAATATCGAATTCCATCATTCTTAGTTTGAAAAAAAAAATTGTGTCTTTTTTTTTATATTTAAAACATGTGCACTTGTCAGTATTTTTAAATGACTATTGTTAAAATTATATTAATACTATTTTTTTTCTCTCTTTAAATGTAAATATTATAAGAGTTTTTTCTTATTCTATTTTAAAATTGTATAGCCCTCATAGGGGCTCTATGAAAAGATTGTGGTAACTTTAGTCATCCGTATCTTCTTTGGGCCCCTGCCTGTTTTTATAAATCAACTTATTTTTGTATGTAAATATTTTTTTGTAATTTTATTTTCTTTTTATATAAACAGCAAATATTTATAAACTAAAAAAAAAAAAAAAAAAAATAAGTCAAGATTACGTAAATTGCGTAACCTTTGACCTGTTAATAACAACAACAACAAAAGCAATATATTTACCAGAAATATAGATGTTTTACACAAGAATGTTATAAGTTATTAAATATATGTGCAGTCATCAATTTGTATAGTTTACTCTCATATAGCTAGGCTAAATCGAGGAGAGCGACCATTGATAGTCCCAATACCGTGAGTTAAAATCTTTCAGTTGGATGAAACTAGATAGCAACCCTATTTGGAAACAAGTTGAAGATTTAATTTTATTTGTAAATTAAAAAAAAGCCTCTTTTTATGTTAATAAATCAATGTTCCATGACCATTTTTCTAACTTATGAGTTCCATAAGTATTTGTTATCAAACAAAGACTCATTGAAAAAGATGGGTTCAACAAAAAGTATAGTTAGTATACTTGGTATTTTTGTTAAAAAGTATACTTGGTATTATAGTTCTTGCTCTGTTCCGAAAAATGATTGGTCGATGACAGTGAAAAAGTGATTTGATATAAGTAGTTAGATATAAGTGAATAATTATTACAAGATTACAATAGAGACAAGTTATATAATAAAGGATTATTTTATGGCTTGCATTTAATTAGTTTTTATGCTTCGTAAGCCTTTAAAACGGTACATTTTAATATAAAATAACTTATTTTATTCTATATTGAAATATACCATTTAAAAAGACTTAATATATCAAGACTCAATAATTGTAAGACAGCAATAAAATTGAATATGAACGTTTCGCAATTAAAGTTAGGTTCATTTTAATTGCAAAACCAGCAATTTGTATTAAAAAAAAAGTGTACTCATTAATGGGGTCCACTCTGGAACTACCTCGTTAAATAATGGGGACCCCCCTTCCCCATTCATTTTACATGCATTGTAAAATCTTCTCTTTTTCAGTGATTACCATATGGCAAACCTATATATATATATGTGTATATATATATATATATATATATATATATATATATATATATATATATATATATATATATATATATATATATATATATATATGTATATATATATATATATATATATATATATATATATATATATATATATATATATATATATATATATATATATATATATATATATATATATATATATGTATATATATATATATATACATACACACACTTTTATTTCTATTTTCAAGAAAATAAAATTGAAAGTAACTCCAAAAAGTATTAGAAATATAGTCAAAACACAATAACTTAAATACTAAAAAATAATAAAACAAATTCTGTAATTTTGCTGCTATTTAATTTAACAGCAACACAACAGAAAAGTTGACTATGTTGTACAACAACATAGTAAAAAGGTTTCTGCTTTTATTACTAGCAACGTAAAATATACAAAATATATATAAATATATTTTCTATCAATCATGTCAAAACAATGATTATTAGTAAGATAATTTACAGATAAGTTTAATATGTTAATATTTATACACTTAAAAATGCAGATAGTTCGAAAATATTGCTGGCGCAAAATGCAGATTGACCAAAAATATTTTTCACGGAGATTGCAGATAGGTCAAAAATGTTTTTTGCGGAGATTGCAGATCGACCGGAGCCATCGATATAATTTATATGACAAAAATATGATCAGATAAAGTGTTAATGAACATATAAAGTGTTTGTGTAAATATGAACATATTTTAGTGTTCAAAATTACGACAATGTAAAGTATAAACAATTTGATAGGGTTGCAAACTTTATATGGTCATAATTTTTGAACGCTAAAATTTTTACTATGAAATTTAAAATTTCTCGATGAATAAAAGTCTAGTCGAAAATAATGCAAAAAATATTTTATCAACTTGTTGCTCTCATGTCTAAGATTTTAGGGTTTCTTGTTCCCATTCTCCTATCACAGTAGTTTTTTTTTTAAGAACCTTTTCGTCATACATATGAACATAAAAAAATTTGGAATATTATTTAAGTATATTATTTAAGCTGAAGCATTTATTGAAACTTTAAGTTAATGATGTTTTAAACAGATACTTCATGCTTATATAAATAAAAAGTAACTTAGAAGTTAGCTAGAGTGCTGCCAAATAAATAGTTTTATAAATTGAATTGAGAGACTGATTTTTATAAGTAAAAAGATGGTTTAGCTGTTTCTTGTTGTTTATAAGTTGGTTATTTCAAACATTTAAATACCTTCCTACGCCACAGTGTGACAGGATATACTTTTGAACCAACAGCTAAACCATCTTTTTACTTATAAAAATCAGTCTCTCAATTCAATTTATAAAACTATTTATTTGGCAGCACTCTAGCTAACTTCTAAGTTACTTTTTATTTATATAAGCATGAAGTATCTGTTTAAAACATCATTAACTTAAAGTTTCAATAAATGCTTCAGCTTAAATAATATACTTAAATAATAAATATCGTTCATTTTCCCAATATTTGTATTTCACAAATGTTTTTTGTGACAAAACCTTTGATGTTTTCAAGCGTTGCATTTCCATCTATAATGTGGTATGGCTTGGTATAACTTATCTGCCGCCATTATTTAAATCGAAATTTTAACAAAGAAATTTTAATAAAGGAATTTGAAAGCGTTTGCGAAATCGAAAGTCAATTTTTAAGTCATCATAAAAAAAAATATTTTATAAATTTCATCGCTCTCTAAGAAAAAATGTATAAAGCATTAAAATAATAGTTGTTTCCTTTTTAATACTTTACGATATAGTTAAAAAAGTTCAATTTAATGGAATTTTGAGTTTATTTCAACTACTTTTTAAAAATAGAAATTTTTATAAATTTTTATTTATAACTTAAATTTTAGAAAGTTTTTTTTGCTGAGAAAACTTTATTCAATTACATAGAGATTTTTCAAATAGAATTATTTTTCCAATTCGTTTTCGTTTCAAATTTCGAAACTTAGCAGGGGCCTATATAACCTGAGGTAATTTGCATGTAAATACCACATTACCAAGATGTGATAACCATTGTAAACTAATATAAAAAGAATTGAAAATTATAAATTAATTTAATGGTGCAATCGTGTTATTTATTAACTATTTATTTTGTTAAGGAGCTGGTTGTCACAAATTTTTTTTATGACTGGCTAAAACATTTCACGGCAAAAAAAAAACAAAACAAACAGCGTCGGCTAAAAGCAAACGGTGGCGGCTTGTGGGTATAATTCTTGTCTATATCCTGGGAACTATTCAGATCATAAAACACGAAAAAAATGGCTGCCGTTCAGCAAGGTATGATCGAATTGAATATTATAATCAATTTCAAATACGACCCTGGTTTAATGTTAATATAATAAGATTATAAAAATAGATTATAAAAATAAGATTTAATATTAAAAATGTCTAACAGCATTAGTATTAAAAGCGTTGAATATTAAAATAATTTAGCTCAAATTAGAAAAAAAAGTTGAGTAAAAAATGCTTTATAAACAATTACGCAAATTTCTCTTTTTATTAATTAAAACATAATGCAACCATAATTTAAAACCAATTAATAAATATTCTTAAAAAAAATAAATTACACTCGGAATAAAGGAACTTTAACCAGTTGGTTTGATGTTTTTCAAAACTCATTTTTAGTTTTATAGAAACGTTTTGTGATTGTAAACATGGACATTATTTGCTCCATTTAATATATGCTTCTTGAAATTTCATTATTTGTACAGCTACCTACGTATTATCATGAATGTATATAAATTAACACGGAACAAAAAACAGAACAAAATGTTACAAAAATTAAAAATCCCTGTTATTATAATTAATAAGTTGAATTAAATTTAAAAAATCAAGAAATTTAATTGTAACATTGTATTTAATGTAAATTAGGTAGAGTCTTGCTTCATTTGTTGTACTGGTTTAAATAAGTTTATTGGATTCACAAGTGATGCAATAAAAACATATTTATTGGAGTATCATATATGTCTAAAAAGAGTATTATTAAGACTTTAGCCTAATATTTCATCTTCTTTATTTATTTTATGTATCTAAGTATTAACATTTATAGATTTAATTGTTGTAAAGTTGAAGATGTTTTACATATTAAACAAATGGTACGTGAACTGATTTTTTTAAATTTATCAAATACTAGAATATTATATATCATTAGAAAGCCCTAAAATATAGTATTTTCAAGGTGAAAAATTATAAAAATCGGACTATTGTATAAAAAGTTATAGCGTTTTTAGTAGCAAATTTTCGATCAATGGATTTCTTGATTGGGGTCAGAAAAAAAAAATTTTCACATAAATTATTTTATAAATAAAAAAACTAATTTTTATTAATATCTATTTTATGTTTCGCGTAGTTTGAAAAGTTTGACATATTTGAAGCAATTCTTCTTAGTAAGATAAACAAATGAAATAATTAAATCATTGAATTACTATAGACATCAAATTAACAAGATAGAAATTAACTAAAAAGGTTAAAAATACTTTATGACGAGGAAGCGAAACTGCTTCACAATATCGCTGATGATGTTTAGTGAGTGGGCTTTTTAATTTTAATTAGTATTTAAAGCAGAAAAAAGTATAACAAGTTTCAAGGATGGCAACTTTCTAATTATTTGCTATATATGTATATTTGTGTTCTGTCGTGACCTCAGGCGCGGTGCTTGTTCATCCGCGAGTTACTTTGAATGCGTTGTTTGTGTTTAGTAACCAGAAACTTATATGTTTGTTACATAATTAGTTTTATTAACTATAATGATTATAACTTCATTGAAAATGCAATTATTTTTGTAAGTCTTTGTTTAAATCAAAAAAATTGCTTTAAAAGATACATTACGATAAAAAACAGATGCACAAAATTACATTTACATAAAGAATACATACTTTTCAAATAAAAAATAAGAATATACTAATAAAATCTATAATTTAAAATAAACATTTGAAATTTCGACAATTTAATATATTTAAAATATTTATTTTTGTAAACAAATAATATAAATTTTTAAAACAAGCAAACTAGAAATCTCAAAACGTAACAAATCATGAATATGACAATTTCTAAAACATTTCAACAGGATACTCTAAAACTTTATTTGGCTAAGTCAGCGTATTTTTTGAACTAATAGAATTAGTTTCTTCGTTAATTTGGAGGGTTTTTAGTGTTCGCAAATATTTTTTTTATTCTTTCGCACAAAGATGTTTTGAGAACATTCAAGTTTATTATGTTTCCATGTATGTCCGTAAAAAAAATTTTTTTGTTTCATACATATATTTAAATGTTCTCAAAACGGCTAAAAAACCTGGCCAGTTTTTCGCAACAAAATATAATTTCCGTGTTCAGTATTCGAGAGCGATCGCTTCCGCTTCCCGACCAAGCCTGGAGTTTACTTCTAAATTCCATTATATTAAAATATAAAAACAGTAAATTTAACAAATAGCATAACATTTATTTATCAGTGTGGGTAGGATAGCAGTAGTTAGCACTCCTTAGACAATACATCAGCAAAATAGACACCTTTTCCAAGCTAAAAGTTATTTTATTGTTCAATTATAGTAATTATGCTAATTTTTGTTGTTTTTATTCTGTTTAAATAGAAGTGTATTTAAGTTAAACAGACTATTTCAAAAATAAAGATTAAGAATAAAAATTTTGAAAAAAATTTTATTTTATTAAGCATATTTAGAAAATTATAAAAATAATATAAAGTTATTTGTTTATTTAAACCTAAAATGTTAAATTTTTAATTTTGCAAAGATTTATTAAAAGCCACATTGTTGAACAACTTTAAAAAACAACTAGGTACATATTTTTCTGAATGTTGATTACTAGAAAGAAAAAAAACTGACATTTATCATAGTGGATCTTCATTAGTTTCCCTGCTTGCAAGTGCTTGAACATTTTTAAAAAAAAACCTTTATAATTAATTATATTATAACATTTATTCTTTCGATATTAGCTTTATTCAATTCAGTTTATTGTTTAATTGTTTTTGATTAATTTTTTTTAATTTTTAAATTCAGGGCTAGAATTAACGCAAAAATTTTTGTTTTCAAAAACCTTCTCCCTCACCCATTTCTGGGGCCATTTTGTGCTAAAGGTGGGTTGCGTTAGTATAAAATAGTATCTTTTGGACATTAGTTTGTAATTGTTATTTTTTAAACATAGTATCTCTAATGAGCATATTTAATACTATTATATTACTTTTAGTAATTGTTTTTACTTTACATAATAATCAGCATATTTAATACTATTATATTACTTTTAGTAATTGTTTTTACTTTACATAATAAATAAAAGTAAAAATGGAAACTTTTACACTTTTATTATAGTTATAGGAAACTATTTAATACTTCAGTTCATGCTGATAATAAAAATGTTATATTTTTAAGGAGGATTATTTAAGGATTTTTATTTTAAAAAGTTGTAAAACAACAGTAAAGCAATACTGCAAAGTTATCAATAATATTGACATAATTGCACATTATTATATTGACAATAATATAATAAAGCTTACTGACGTTGTTTTATTGCTGTTTTATACAGTTTGTGACATTAATAACCCTAAAATGTGTTTAAAATAAAACAAAGTAAATGAATATAATTGTTCTAATTAAAACATTGTTGTCATAAAAACTTGTCATTAAAACTTCATATTTGCGCAAAAATATGCTATAATTATAGATCAAACGAGTAAGATCGAAGCAAAAAAAAACATTATATACTTTTTTTTTTTAATCGATTGCTTTCTGATTTAGCCTACTATAAAAAATTTAAGTATAATTAATTTTTTCATTCAAACAATTTTTAAATTGTGCTTTCACTAAATTATTTAGTTCAAATTGTTTTGCAATAAAAAGTGTGAGAAAAAAAATTTTGTTAATGTCGAATTACACTTAAATAATTATATTAAGTTTATGTATATGCTTGAATTATTTTTTTGGAAAATATTTTGTATAAACAGAAGTCGAATAATTTATTTTTATTAATTTAAATTTTTTATAATTTAATTTTTAGTTTAATGTGTGCAATAATCACCGGTTCAATGTTTGCAGTTGAATGGTTCTACTTTTAAAACTATTTTTATGAAACAAAATTGTCTCTTTTAAAAAAAAAATTTAACTATTCAAAATTTTTAGCGCCAGGCAATATCTATGACAGCCAACACAATAGTTGTCTAAAAATTTAACTGCAACTTGTTTTTCTTGTTCAGTATTATCTGCAAGTCAATCAGCTTAAGTCTGGATTTAAACTCATTGACTGATGTAGACTCCACTACCGATTCCGTTAAATTATTCCATCCAAACCCTGTTTGTAAAGAAGTGTTGTCTACTTAAACAATTTTTAACAAACTCTGATTTAACACGATGTTTATAACCTCTAATATTGGATGCTGGACCTGGTGTATTGATTAAATGCATTTGTATCTGGACTTTCTTCATATCAATAGATTTAAAACCTTTATATAATTTATATTGTTGTATAAGGTCACCTCTTAGTCTTTGAACTTTTAAAGTTGTTAAATCTAATATTTTTAGTCTTTGATTATATCTCAGATGTCTTAACTCTGGTATCAATTTAGTTGCTCTTCTTTGAACTTTTTCAAGTTCTTTGATATCTTTTTTATAATAGAGATCCCGAGCTTGAATCGCAAACTCTAAATGAGTTCTAACATATGTGCAATAAAGCATTTTCATGAGGTACTTATCTTTATATCTAAAAATGTTATTTAATATTGCAAGCATATTGTTTGTTTTACTGGCAGCATTCCTTTCTTGTTTTTCCCATTTCAAATCCTTGGATATATAAATACCTAAATCTTTTTAAATTTTTCAATTTCTTTTAGTTCGCTATCATTTTTCATGAAATAAAAATATCTTTTATTACTTGCACCAAAGTGCATTATTTTACATTTCTCAAAATTCAAACCCAGTTTCCATTCAACAGACCAATCTTCAAGTTTTTTTATGTCATTTTGAAATGATTTTGAATCAACCTCGTTATAAATAGGAGCGATTATTTTATTGTCATCGGCATACAAACAACATTTATTAAGAAGTCTGCTTGGTAAATCGTTTATGAATATCAAGAAAAGGAGTAAGCCAAGTACAGAACCCTGTTGTACTCCACATATCAACCCAATTTGCCTTGCATTTTCCCATCACTACTTGTTGTTTCCTATTCGATAAGAATGATTTAATCCATTTAAAAGGCATACCAACAATACCGGACATATAAACCTTAGCACATAATTTTATGTGATACTCTGTCGAATGCTATTCAAAAGTCGGTAAACAAAACATCAATTGGAATACCGTATAATAATGCGCTTGTTAAGGTATCAAGAAATTCTAGTAAATTCGTTGTGCAACTCTTATCTTTTAGAAAGCCATGGTGTTCCTTTGCTAATAACTTGTTAGTTATTAAATGCTTAATGATATTATCAGCAATTATTCTTTCTAAAATTTTGCATGGTATTGACGTCAGAGATACTGGTCTGTAATTTGTTGGTTTCAACTTACTCCCTTGTTTCAATATAGGGGTTATATCAACCATCTTCCAAATATCTGGTACAGTACCATCTTCTGTAGATTTTTAAAATATTAAATAAAGAGGATATGAAATTGATGTACTGCATTGTTTTAGAACAAAAGAATGTATTAAATCAACTCCAATTGATTTTGATATTGTTACTGTAGTTAGATCTATGTTTGTGTCATTATTGATGTTACTGCAATTAAACTTATAATTACTGATGGCAAGTGTTAAAATTTAAAAATTAAAAAAAAAAAAAATTAATTTCAATTTCAGTTTTCAGATTACTTTAGAAGACTTCAATTCTCTTAATATTGCTTTAACTTTAAATGAAAATTTTTAACTTTAGCTTTAACTTTAAATAAAAATATAAAAAAAATGCTGTTTATTTTGATTTAATTTATAAATTTATATATATTTTATGTATATTTACTTAATTAAGTAAATATAACTAAATTAAACTTTAAAATAGAGGTAGGATATTATTGTCTTCCACGCAGAGAATTAAAGTAATTTAAATTCAAAAGTACTTTATGTTAAGTGCATTTTGTATTGAATCTCCATGCAAAAGAGGCCTCTATTTTTATATGTATATATATCCTATTTATATATATTTTATTAAAGGAATAATCAATATTTTTATATTTTTCAGATATCGAATCACAAATAAAAGAACTCCAAAATTTGAGAGGTAATAAAATAAATGATAAAGATGAAGAAACCCAAAAAAAAGCCGGTGTAAGTTGCACTTTAGTTATGATTAAATACTAACATTGCATACATCAATATTACAATGTTTTTCTAAACTTAATTTCTTGTGTGTTTTTCCATCCTGTTGGGATCTTTAATGCTATATTTAACCCACTTCCCGACTAGCTGGAGCTCTGAAACTTTCAGGATAGCTCAGAACCCAAAGGCAATGCAATTTAAAACCATTTTCAAGCTTCGACAGTCAATATTTCTCTCAATTTCAACAAAATAAAATTTTATATGAAGAAAAAATAACCAAACAAATCTAAAACGTAAAAAATAATCTACAATAAAAAATGAATTTTTCTGAAAACAACTTTTTTCAAGCGAACTAAAAAGTAGAAAATAATTTTTCTTTGAGGTTGTCAGAATGTCTGATTATGTTCTTATAATGTTGACAGATTTTATAACAAATTTATTACACGTAAAATGAAAAATATAGGGCGTATGTTGTAAGATGGTTTCAAAAATGGTTTCATTTTAATGATCATTGTAGATATATTGCCGAATCATTATCAGTGCAATATATCGACACTGATCATAAAAATGGCCAATTATATTTAAATTATAGATACACTTAAATACATCCACACAAACAAAGCATTAAATCATATGTTATACTGCATAATGTCATAATATTATCAAATCACCACTCTGCCCAATATTTTTCGTTTTACGTGTATCAAATTTGTTATAATATCTGTCATCATTATAAGAGGAATATAATCAGACATTCTGACAAGCTCAAAGAAAAATTATTTCCTACTTTTTAGTTCGCTTGAAAAACATTGTTTTTGGAAAAATTCATTTTTTATTGTAGATTTTTTAATAATATTTGTATTTCTTATTTTTTTTATATTGTTCTTTCTATAGTTGCTTTAAAATTTAGATTGCTTTTGGAACTGCAGTAGAAGCAGAGCTGTATGGTACAGCCAGTGACAAGTAAGATACTTCTTTTTAATGTGGCAGATTTTATCATTACTTTATTCACACACTTTATTCACTTCTTGTACAATTTGTGTATATATTTTATATACCAAATGTCTTCAAAATTAGGGTCGGCATTAGGCAATACTGATCGAACAATGTTTAAGGTCACTGGCTGTACCATACAGCCAGTAACTTTTTGCAAACCTCAAAATTTTTGCAAAAACAAACCTTTAAGTTAAATTTTAATAGGGTTTCTGCAGTTTTTTAGTCAGTTTTTAAGGTAATAGCCTGTTTTTTTAAAGCCTGATTATTTTATATAATAAAGTATATGATTTATGGAATATGTTTATCTTTTACATTCTGATTTGAAGAAACAATTGCATTACATACAAAAAAGCTATATAACCCTTATGTCAAATACAATTTGAATGGTTTACAGCAAGTCATAACATCGTACTTACACGCGTTGTTTGTTGGGTGGTGTATTATGGAAGATCTTAATCATTTGAAAAAGTTGTTTGGAAAAATTCAGCTACAACAAGAATCAATTTGGTAACTTTCCATTAATAGGAATGTTACAAATGTCAAGAAATTGTTTTTAAAAAAGTTGGTAAGTGATCTTGAGGAAAAAAAAAAAAATCATTTATCGTTATGGTCATGTCCACTCCATACTATTTCCAACGGTTTTTCGGAAGGCTTGAAAGTATTGTTTAATTATTGAGGACATTGGTTTGGACCATTAAGTATTTGATATGCACAGTTTTTTAAAAAGTATTGAAGAATATTTTGCTGATAATTATTCCCTGAGCTACAAGGACACTGGGTATTGAGGTATGTCTGTATTGAGATATGGAGTAAAAACAGTAAAAACTAATTCTCCATGTCTGCATTATCAAATTGTCTTAAGAAAGTAACAATATCAGGCCTTCTCAAGAGACGCGTGCAGTCTCTTGCCTTGAATGACCACGCATATATATTTTTTTGTTGATAATATGGCCACGATTTTTTTTGCATTTATTATAAATGACGCATCTTAAAAACGCGCTGAAAAAACAAAATTAATTACTTATCTTTTTTTAATTATTATTAATAATTCATTTATATAGTTATTAATGAGAAAATAGAAACATTAAAATAACATATATAGGCATTTCCATTTTTAACTTACGTTACACACGCAATAACTTTACCAAATATTAGCTTATTTAAACTTATAAATTAAACTTTTAGCAATTTTGTATAAAAGCTGTTAGTCTAATAAATAAAATTAGCTTAAAAGTTTTGTGTTCGGCTGAAAGAAAGCAAACTTATTACTAAAAATGCCACTTGCGCTGATGCTACACGGAAAACAAGGTAAAAAAACAAATTCAACTTATAGGTCTGCAAATCAGTAAATCAGTTTGTATTAGAAACTTTTACAAAATGCAGATAATTCTATACCAATTTAAAATTTTTATAAAAACTTTTTTTAAGTAAACTTGTTTTTTTGATACTGTATTTTTTACTTAAATTACATCACTTACATTATCGAGCAGTTATCATGATTTTTTTTTATCTATTATTAAGAGTTAGAGTTACGTAACAATAGAATTGCATAAGTATTGAACTCATTCATTAAAAATAATTAACAAAGAAAATTTTTAAAAACTGGTGGCACTCTTCCTGAGTGATTTTTCATAACTTTCATGAAAGTTATCAAACTAATAATTTTTTCGCAAGACTAAGAGTAACTTCAGAAAAATATTTTAGTTTTACATCTTTATTATTACTTAATTAAGTGATTGGTTTGTTGAAGTTTCTATTTACACTTCTTACTTTTATGCGTATTGCTTTATTTTTATAAGATTGAATTTTTATAATGCTGCTAAGCAGAGCCGGCGCGAGTAGGGGTCACGTGGGTGGGGTGGGGGGTGCCATAACAACTTTTGCCGTCTTAAAAATAAAAAAATATATATATAAAAAAAGGTCCTCTTTTTTCTAAAATTTACCGACTGCCTTAACGACATTTGCCGACTGACTTAATTGACTAACCTATTGACAGAGTCTACATATGCCAACTAACTAGTCAAAAAGGGTCATATTTGCTGACTAAGGGTCAAATTTGCCGACTAAAAATCATTGATAGGGGGGTCACACCCCGCCCCCACCCCCCCCCCACACACACACACACCTATCGCGCCGGCTTTGCTGCTAAGTTAAATTAATTTTTAAATATTTAAATCTTTTCTAAACATCTGTATGTCCACCAAAATAATAGTATATAAACAAACAAACAAAAAAACAATAAAATAAATAATTTTAATACATATGAAAAAAAAGATTTTTTTTTTTTAAATTCTCCTTATATAAAAAGTTTCAGTTAAAATCTTGTCAAGCCAACAGGAAGAAATAATAATTACTTAATGACGTAATTCATTTAGTAAATAAAAACTTAACGAAAATCACCAGAATTTTATTAAATGCATGAAAACAAATGAAAATATATATTTATATATTATTTTTATCTTTTTATTTTATCATTAATTACAAATATATATATATGTGCATTATTGTTAGGTTTTAATTTTCTCATAAATAATTGTAATAATAAATTGTTATTAATAAAAAAAAACAATAAGATGAATAATTAGTTTTTTCAGCGCGTTTTTAAAATGCGTCATTTTTAATAAATGCAAAAAAAATCGTGGCCATGTTATCCACAAAAAATTATATAAGCGTGGTCATTCAAGGCGTGCGACCGCACTCGTCTCCTGAGAAGGCCTGAATATAGAAAGAAAAAAATAATCAAACATGTCAAACAGTTTTTATTTAAAACATCCACATTCTGTAGCAGGTTAAGCACTTTTCACATATACAAAAAATTAAAAAAATAATACGTTATCCATAAAAAAATATATTTATTAAATAATAAAATTTTATAAAAAAAATTTTCAAATAATTTTTAGCAGAGATGTTTCAGTTTTTTATTTATTAAAAATTAACATTATTTAAACTTATTATTTTTTTATTTTTTAAAATTGACAACTTGTGAGAATACTTTTTAAAAGATCTACTAAATCAAAAAAAGTATAATGATTAAGCAGGTATTGCAACAACTTAAAGATACATCTTTTCTAACGTTTTTATTTTACATGAAGGCTATAAATAAAACAAAATGTTAATTATAATGATCGTTTAAATTAAACGCATTTTGTGTAAATTAAATATGTAAATTTTTTTTAATGGGCATGTATTTTTATGATAAACTTAAACATTTGAAATTATTTTTCTTTGTCTTTCTAAAAATCTTTCATAAGAATAAATTTGTTAAATACATTAAATTGTGAATAATTTAATTAAAATCTTCTGAATTTATGCGGTAGTGGTGTAGTGGTAGAGCGCTCGCTTCATAAATGAGTGGTTCCGAGTTCGATCCCCACCACGTCCCTGGTAGTACCGCGCTCAACTCATTTCTCCGCGCAGCGGCCTTGTTCTTTAAGGTTCGTGTTTCGAAGTTATAGAGTTGAGAGAGGGTTATAGCCACAAAATAAGTAGCCTCCTCGCCTGTAGTGGCCTTCTCGGCCTTGAGGAGGTAAAGTAAAATAAAAAAAAATTAAAAAGATGACTTAATTACTTTATTTTTTTTTTTGTTTCTATTTTTACAAAGAATTGTTTAAAAGCTTTTTTTTTTTAAACTTGACTTCCTAATAAAGTAATTAAAATTACTATTTTAAAAAGACTACAATATTAAAAAAAAATTTTGTAACAAAAAGTAAATTTCGCCTCGTTTTTGAGTTTTTAGAGTAATATTCTAAAGCTTACATACTTTCTTGTTTGTGAAGAATTGTTTTCTTCATTTTTTAAAATTTTTTTTCATAGTTTTGCGACTTCAAAAAAAAAAAATTTAAAAACGCTGAGCTAAACTGTTTAGCTTAGTGTTTCTTTTTTCAGTGCATTTCTGAAATCTTTAAATCATCAAAGCATCTAAGCAGTCGTGTTCAAGTCAACAACAAAAAAAAATATTTGCATTCTATCGCAGACTATTCCTGTCCAAGCATGATATAGCAGTGCTCAATTTAACGGTCAGACATTGGACAATTTACAAAGTAATTGGACATTTTGACCGATGGGAATTAAATTCTGCAAAGTAAAAGTTGGATAATATGATGTGTGATCAAATGCTATTGCTGACCACTCAAATGATTTTTTTGTTTACAACTTGACCACTGTTTGGGTGTTTTGATGATTTAAACGTTTCAGAAATACATTAAAAAAAAAAGAAACGTAAACACTAAACTAGGAATAAAATTGAAAAAACTAAAGAAAGAAAAACGATTCCTTACAAAAAAGAAAATGAATTAGCTTTAAAATAAAACAAAAAAAATTCGAAGTTAAAATTACTTCTTGTTATTTTAAATATATAAAAGCTATATTTTTTTGATTAAAACAAAAGAATAAATGTATCCCAAAAAAAAACTAACTTAATTTTAGTTGAAGCTCATCTTCACCGTTTTTTTATAGGCCTAAAAGTCAGCGTAATATACACAGCAATCTACTGACTTGATAATTTATTCAAGCGGGATTTATTTCTAAGAGTTTTAGTACATGACGTCATTAATTTTTTTTTGTTTGCGCAAGAGATCAATTATGTAAACAAAAAAAAAGTCAATGACATCATGTACTAAAACTATTAGGAATAAAATGCGTTTAAATAAATTATCAAGTCTGTAGATTGTGATATATATTATGCTGACTTTTAGGCCTACAATAAACAGAAGACGAACTTCAACTAAAATAAAAAAAGTTAGTTTTTCATGGTATTCATTTATTCTTTTGTTTTAATCAAAAAAGTTAAGCCCAAACATTTTTCTTTATCATTCTCTTTAATATGAACACAACATGTCTTGGAGATTTGGGATCCCTTTAATCAATCAGTCGAGTTTTAAAAAAAACTTTTAATCAATTTTTCCTAAAAATAGAAACATAAATAATAATAAAGCAATTAAATCATGGGAAAACTTTATTTAACTTATTCATAATTTAAAGTAACATAAAAAAATAATCTTTTAAAAGATTTTCAGAAAGACATAGAAAAATAGTTTCAAACTTTTACATACTAAAAAAATATATAACATTTAAGATACACATAATGCGTTTATTTTAAACGATAATTATAATTTTATTTTAATTTTAAATTCATTTTATTTTAAAGCTTTTGTGTAAAAAAAAAACTTTAAAAAAGATCAATCGTATTTATACATTTACTAGCAGTAAGCAACCCGTTATACGCGTTGTTAGTAAATTGAAAAAAAAAAAAAAAAAACCACGTATAGAAAAGCCTAGAAACTACTTTAAAATAGAAAAGCCTAAAAAATGACGTAACTTGACTAATAATAATAATATTAAATTAGCGTATTCATATTATCAGATTATTGTTTTAAAATGTTTTTATGTTTTCATTTATGTTATCATAAAATAGCATGTTTTTTCAAAAAAGTCCTGTTTTTTAGGCTTCCATGGTCCTGTTTTTTTTCTTTTAGAAAAAATTTTCTGGTTTTTACAAATGACTCAGTAGGGTAGAGGAGAATTAAGAAATTATCTCACACTTTCGTGTGAAACAAAAACGTTTTATTTTTAATGATTTATAAAACACAAATAAATGAAGTTTGAATTATAACCAAGAAAAATAAAGCAGAAGTTTATAAAATTTAATTTATGCATTCAAATAGTCCTATTCCTAGTTTTTCTTGACCCACACAAAGAGATAAGCATTAGATGCCTCGAATTGTGTTTTGGTGTTCCATTATTCCATCATATGCAACAAATGGTCATGTATACAAAAGTTTAAAATTGACTTAGCAAAAGCTTTGTGTTATTTTTTATGTTAAATTTTTTTTTTTAATGTTATATACCTCCCTAAGTCCAAGAAGACCACTACAGTCGAAGAGGCATCTTCATTATGGTTACAGCTCTCTCTTAACTCTTTAACTTCAAAACATAAACATTGATGAACAAGTTGATTGCTGGGATCAAACTCAGAACTTCTTGCTTATGAACCAGCAACCACTAAAAAATTAAAATAGCAACTGGTAAAGGTTTGTTTTGGGATTTTCAAAATATGTTGATCTATGATCACTTTTTTATTTTGCAAGTTAATTAATTATGCTGTTTCAATAAAAATCCCCTTTCACTTCAAGACAAACTTTAGGAGCAATTTAAATGATGAGTTTAAAACCACTTTAAAGTAAATGTTTATGAACCAAATAAAAAATACAAAAATCCTAAAATTCTAAACTTATGTTTAATTCCCTAGTGACTATTTATGAAGTATTGAACTTAAGTATTGAATTTAAGTATTGAATTTATGAAGTATTGCCTTTTCTATTGCTCAATTATTAATTACAAAAATTTGCTTCAGAATGACTGATAATTTTTTCTTTGATACGTAATGTTTCTTTAAGATTATTTTTAAAAATAAAAAATAAATCTCTTTTTTAACAGCTATGGCTTTACACTTGTGGTTTAAAAAGGTTTGATGAAATGTTGAAAATGATGAAAAATTTTATTTAACTATGACATTATGTTAAAAAGTTAAATCTAAAAAGAATTATGATTGAAACCGTATGTTTTTTCTGTTATGACATCAGTAATAAGATCACAGAAAACACATGCTTAACTTTTTGAGTCATGTAAGATAATTTTGCTGAGTATTCTATACAATTTTCATTCACAAGAGGTTATAATATTTAAATAAAAACTATAACAGACACCTAAAATATTTTAAGTTGCAAATATTGATTTGTTTTTTTCATTTTTTTTAGGTAAGGTACTTATAAAATGTCAATTACAAATTTTTTAATTTTAGATTTATTTATTAGGTATGCTGGTTATGATATGTCAATTGCTACTAATGACCAAGAAGAAGTATGTTTTTATTTTTTATTTATTTCCATTTGTATGTTTTTTGTAAATTTATAACAATTTATTTTAATAAATAGTTATAAATTTACTATAAACTTTTAAAGCATATGGCCTAAAGAAATTCTATAGAATCTGTTAATTTCTATAGAAATTCCTGTAGGACTTTTTTTCTACACATAGAACCTAAAGTTTTATAACATTTTCTATAGAAACTAATAGACATTCTATAAAAAGTCTATTAAATTTCTATAGAATTTTTTATAGGATATATGTTTCAAAAGTTTAAAGAAATTCTATAAAACTTTTTTTCCTGGGTAATCAAACTTAAAGAATAAAAATTATATTAAAATTTATAAAAATTAATTATAAAAGTTGAAATAAAAAAAAATTAAAATTTAACTTTTTTGTTTTAATGTGTTTTGACAAGGTTATTTAAGATACTCTATGGGTAACTTGCAAATTAAGGCTAAGGAAAATTGATTTATAAAATGTAAAGATATTGAGTTTATTGAAAATATACTGTTATATTGAGTTATTTTAAAATATAGAACATTTCAACTGTAAAAGCTTATATAGAACATTAACAACTATAGAAGTACCCTAATTTACATATATACACCAATCTTAAATACAATGACATAAAGCACAAAATTACATATAAGCACTAAAGCTATTATATTTTAGTGATTATACCAATATTTGAACGAATATTGATACCCTTTGGGTCATTTCATATCAAATCACCTAATGGTCCCCAGGGTACCACCTCAAATTTGTTTCAAATTTTGACTACCCATAGTATTTATAAAAAAAATACAAACCTCAAAATTTCATAAGTTATTATATTTCAAAAAAATAAAAATAAAAAAATGCTGAAAGAAGTGTATATACACGTGAAACACAAGTACACTAATTTGTTTATCTCTGATTTACATAGCTCATAATACTGTCATAATCATTATTAGCAAGTTTGTAGTCAGCGCTTATTTGACATATTACTTTGTCAAATAAAACTCAACACTGATGTGATCGTGAATCATTAGTCCATTTTAAATTTAATTTGTTTCTATGCATGATTGTTACATTATCATCTTGGTTTTTTATTGCAAATCTCAAGCACAAGCCCTTGTCATCATCATAAAAATATGCAATCTATTTACAAGGTTGAAAGTTTGAAGGATCTTTTTTTGCCAAGTTAATATTATTCAGCAAATGGGTATCAGACAATATCGCTAGAGATTCTCCGTAAAAATAATTTCTCTCCACCTGGTGCAAAACTGTGATCAATTCTTTATATCGTTTCTTTAGGTTAAAATAAATTTCATGGTTATATCACCACTTGAAATGTAAAATATGTTAACAGCTTTAATGTTTTTTTCAGCCCATGTAAACAGTTAATTTACATGAACTGTTTACATGGGTGATGCTCAGCATTTATATTGTGATCTTCAAGATAGTACATTAAGTTTAACAGACATTTGTAATTTTTGTACTGCGACAGAACCATCACTGAAGTATTTTACTTTATTGATTGGGGGTAGTTTGATTTTGATCATTAAGAGTAACTTTGTGAGAAAACAATGAACTGTTGTTTTGTCATGGCCAAGATGGACTATCTTGGCCATGACAAAATAATCTTTGTAATATATTAAATGGCCATCAGGCTCATCAGCTTAGCATTTTGATAATAAATGCATAAGCAAACTGAGTGACTTCCAGTTCTGTCAACTTCGGTCTTAGTTCACAGAACTTGCTGAACCCAACTTTGTGTGAAGGGCATAACTTTTTAAATTCAAAATAAAATTCCTTTAATCAAACTAATATTGAACATTTTTGTTTATGAAATTTTACATTATTTATATGCACAGAAATAAAATCTTTTTTTCCTGGACATTGTCTAATGAGCTCTTCAGATTCTTAAATTTCAATAATTTTTTGTTTGACAATATCTTCCAAAGCTGTTCTACTTTAGCCTCAGGCTTAGCAATATTCCTTTTTTATTTTTCAACTTTTGAGCGTTCTTAATGAGGTGTTCTGAAACTGAAAATGTTTTGCAAGTTTTTTTAATTGACCATCTATTAGTAGTTGAGTTTTTTCTTCCTTCAGACTTATTTTCATTTTATTTTTTATTGCATCTAACAGTTTGTCTAAATCATTACAGGTTTATACATTTTTGCTTTTTTTTGGATTCTATATCTTTTGGGTCTATATCCAATGCTGACGCTACTAGGTTTGTCTTACTTATTGCAATTTTTTTAGCTTTTTGCTTTCCATATCCTAATTTGTTGCGCCTACAGTGAGATATTTCTAACAAATTACAGTAGAGATATTTCCAACAAAGACACGCATTTTTATTAAGAACTATCTTAATAAGGTCTGAACAACTAAAATCTTCTTCAGCAGCTTTATTTTGACTAACTTCTGTAATTTTATCAAGTTTGAATTCATTCATACAGTTAGTTCAAACTTTTTAACCTGGTTTGATCTTAAGTTCATTTGCTATTGATATGTTTCACAATTCTTGATAATTTTTTCTTGTGGACTTTAAATGGATCCCAACAGTAATTTTGAAGTGCTTCATATCTAGAAATATAGGCTTTTTCATAGTAAAAACATATCTTCTCATTTGGTTCGAAAGTATATCCTATCCTTATAACTTCGATACAAGTATCTTTTAGTCATATTCTACCATTCTTCAATATGACATTTTATTACAGGCTTCTAATTTTTCATCACATTTCTCTGAGATTTGTTAATAATCTGAAAGTATTAAAAACAATAGTTAAACATGCAACATAATCTTAAAAAATATTTTTTTTATATTTTTCCAGTAATAAAATCAGTAAAAATGAAATCTTAAGTACAAATGTGATTAAAACTGTCTAAAATGCAACCAATAAACTATTTCTAAATATAACTATTTCTGCATACACAGAATTATTTAGTTTTTGGTTCTTGCAATATTAAAAACTAAAATAATAAAATCCAGAAAATACTGAGCTGATTTGACCTTAATATGAACTCTTGAAGCAATTGAAGTATTTTACACTCAAATTATAAACGTGAAAATTATATCATTATAATTATATTATATGCATAAAATTAAATAAATATACGTTATAAAATCATATCAAATTAATTAAGACACTGATAATGTTATTTTAGAAAAATTTAAAATAAACACACTAAATTTGAGGTGGTACCCTTGGGCACTTTTGAAAAATTAGGTGATTTCATATGGAATAACCCCTTTTTAAATCAAAAGCATGGTTAGATAATAGAATATATAGTTCTGTTAATAAGTTTATTTAGAAAAGCAGTTTGTATAAAAGAATGTTTGAAATTACTTAGGATGAAGATGATTATTCCAGTGCTCCATTGGGTACTTCAAAACTTTCTTCTTTTACTGCACCTCAAGCAGTTTTAAAAGATCTTGCAAAAAATGGTGCAGATGTGGATCCCTTTGCTGCAACAAGAAAACCAACAATTGCTGAGCGTCAAAACGAATATCAGCAGCGTATGCGAAATCTGATGATTTCTCCAGCCAGAGTAGATCCATTTGCTGATGGTAAGTCTTGTAAAACAAAACTGAAAATTTAATTTTTTATTCTTTTGATCAACTGAAAAAAAGTAATGGAAGGGTTTCAAGAGTCATTATTCTATTTATATGTTTATTTGAAATAAATCAAAAATTTTATTTGAACTCAATCCTAAAAAGGTCTATTAGTGGTAGTGTATTTTGTAGTTCTATGTAAACGAAAAAACTAGACAAAATTCCAGTTTAATCTTTTAAAATGAATTATTACGGGTTAAGGTTCATTAAATTATCTTATGAAGTTAAAAAATAAAAGTTTAAACTTAGTAAGTTTTAACTTTAAAACTTCAAAAAAAAAAAAAAACAACTTATTCTTTAAGTTGACTGTAAACCAGTCAAATTAACTTTATTGAATATTTATTTTCTAACCTGAAGTCTTATGTACACTTTTCTAGATATCTTTTATCTTGTTAATAACAAAAATATCTGTTACTTTTTGTACTTTTTACAAGTTTCTACCATAAATAATATTATTAATTTTGAAATTTAGAAAATAAAGAGAGTTTTAAATGAAGATTTATCAGTTTTTAAAATCTATATTAAAAAAGTAATTAAAATATTAAATTTAAAATTAAAAACAAATTTCTAGAAAATTATAAACAAACTGTTATAGACTACATGGTTCCACATTTTGGTTGTAATAAAAAGATTTTGTATTTTGTAATGTTTAAAATATATTACTTATATAAGTTAACATTTCATTTGTTACAAATTTTTTCTAAATTTATACTTAAGGTTCATTAAAACTAACTTTGTTTCATAAAATTTCCTTGCTCTTTAACTCTATTTTTTGTTTTTTAGTAATTTCCAACTTGATAGTGGTTGCTTGCACCCTTGTTGGGAGTTAATTAGAATACAGAAAAAAAATAGGCTTCTAAAAATAAAATTTACAACAATTTATATATTTAAAAAAATATTTAAGTTAATTACACAAAGAAAAAATAAAAATAAAAAGATAAACAAAGAAAAAATATTCAAGCTGTTGAGATTTGCATATTAAATCTTTTACATCAGCAAATAAGCAAATTTTAATATAAATGCACTACCACTACATATTTGTTTACAAATGGCTAATTGAAACCCCTTCTATTGTTTTGTATTCATTTACTTTGTTTTGTTAATTGCTATTGAATTTCTCTTTTTCAGGAAGACGTCATATCAATACGCAGAGCTTCTGTGTGATGATGTTGTTGTTTTAAAAACATGTTAATTAAATTTATGACTACTATTTGATGTTGTTCTTTAGGTTCATTTACCCAAATCTGTAGATTCAAATAAAAATTTTTTTTTTCAACTAGAACTAATTTTGATTATTGAATTGCTTATGAAATATCATTTTTAGTTGTAGATGCAATAAAAAATAAAACTTTTTTGTGCATAGATGGTTTTTTATTATGTTGATTAGTCTAAAAACAACAAGATATTTCATGAGAAATAGCCTAAAGAACAACTGATAATATTTGAATTTTAAAAAAAAAATTGTTTTTTTAAATATTCTTCATAAAGATTTTAACACAAAAACTCCTTTCTTTATAGGAGTGTTATTATAAGGTGAGTGTTTTGAAAAGAGCTTTTTTCTCTAAAATTCTTTAGATAAACATTTTAAAATAATATCAGTGTAATTACTACAATGGCGGAAAAGGTGACCAGGGGATTGCAATTCAAGTTGAGGAGTGCTGCCCAGGTGGTGATATTAGTTATTTCAAACAATTTTTTTTATTTGTTTAATATGGGGAATTTTTTTAATTTAGGGGGTAAAACACCAGATCCAAAATTGCGTTCTTATCACGATGTCCTAAAAGAGCAAAAGTTGATTAAAGATCAGGTTTTTTAAATTGTTGTTATAAATTGTATATATTTTATATATTTTCACAAAAAAATTATTTTCAAAATAATCATTTTGAATTTAAATTAAAAAATATATATACAATTACCTCTATAAAAATTTAATTTATTTATATTAATATTTTCATAAAGGCTGCTGTTGTAAAAAAAATTCAAGATAAAGCTAAAGCTGGAGAATTGAAAGTCACAAAGCGTAAGATTTATTTTATAATATTTAGAATATATGTATTTTTTTACATTGTTTTAATTTAAAATAAATGTAAAATTAAAGATTAATTTTTTGTATTTAATGTTTTAGCAGCTAAAAAGCGAAGTGGAAGATGGGATCAGCCATCAGGAGAAGAAGTTGCACCTAAAAAAAAATGGGATCAGGTTGATACACCATCAAGTACTAGATGGGATGAAACACCAGGAAGATCTAAAGGTGCAGAAACTCCTGGTAAGGGTGGTGACACTCCAGGCACTGTACAAGGAAGTGAAACTCCAGCTGCTACACCTATTGGTGAAGAAACTCCAGGTCGAACTCCTGGTGCAACCCCAAAAATGTCATGGGAAGCCACCCCAAGTTACATTCAAGCAGGATCTACTACTCCTGGTAATGCTACACCTGGTGGAACTACACCATCAGCTAGTAAGTTAAAACTTTTTAGCTTTAGTTTTTTTTTTTTTTTTGCATTTTTTGTTATTTGATTATTCTTTATTTTTATACTGATAGTGTTTTTTATAAAAAATCAAAGTTTATATCAAAGGTTTTTTGTTTTTTAAAGCAATTCAAATATAATATGGAAATATCCTTTCGCTTTACAGAAAATCTAAAAAAAATTAAGTTTGTTTATTATTTTTACCACACTCTAACAAAAGTCTTTTTACAAAACAAACTTTTTGTTGATAAATTTTATATATTTTATGTTTTTTTAAAAATAAAACTTCTTATGGGTTTATTCCTATTAGCTTTGGTGAAAAAGGTGAAAAACATTATTCCCTTCAAAAAATGTTATTAAACTGTTAGCAAAAATTTACTAAGGTGTTATTGCAGTTTTATTAGTTTCCTGAAAGTTTACATTGTTAGACTTCCTCCTTTTTAACTTTTACCGGTTTATATATACTTCTATATACTGTTGTTAAAGTTAGTCTGAATATATATTGCAATTAGCCTGGATCACTGGGAGTAGACACTGCTAAAAGTTTATAGGTTGGGGTGTTGTAGTTGTCAGGGTAGACAGAGATATCTTCAGCTGTAGATTAAAATAAAAGATTTAATAAAATCATTAAAAACCATTGGACAATTAAAAATATTAAAAGTTAATTTCAAAAGGAATTTATGAAATCCTAGACAGGCTTGGACAGGAAAGTGTGCGATTTTGCGCTATATTATAACCACACAAATACTATTTGATTTTGAAAACTTGACCACGACTATTAATACATTTTGAAAATTTTAATATATTTTAAAAGTGTGCTGAAAAAATTGTCTTTATTTTTTTTTTATATTTAAAGATTTATTTGCTTCTTTTACTTATTGTTAAAAAAGCAAATAATTTTAAATTTAAAAATCTTTGTAAAAAAAAAAGCAAAAAATAAAATTAAGATAACTTAACTAAAACTAAATTAAAAAAATAAAATCAAAACAAAATGATTAACTAATAAAGTAACAATTTAGATCCAACCATTGTTTAATAAATGCGCACATTTAAAAGTTAAAAAATAGATTTTCAAATAATCCTTCGCAGTAATGTAAACAAAAGAAAAATTAAAATCGTTTATTTAAAAGGTTGATATAATTTTTTTTACTAATAGACATTTTATAATAAAAAAAAAATATATATATATACATGATATTCATTATTATTTGAATAAAAAATCATTAGTGGTGATTTGTTACTTTATTTAAATGCATTTTAATAATATAAAAACATAAAAAAAAATCAAAGTTATTTAATTCAAATGGCTTTTTTTTCTTTTTCATATATAAAGTTTATTAAAGAGACCATCATTGATACTAATAATTAAAATCATTAGTTACTTTATTTAAAAGTGTTTTGCTAATATAAAAACTTTAGTAAAGATAAACCTTTTAAAGTTATATATTTTTAGTGTTATAATAGTAAACTTAGGTGCAAAAACGCATTCTAAAAATAGTTAGGCTTGCTCTTGCAGCCAACCTCCAGCCATTATCACATTGCCATTATCACACAATACTAACCTCAAAATTTCAGCTTGATTTGCCAAACTGTTAAAAAGTTATGATTGATTTAATATTGACGTCAGAAAAATTTTAGTACACGGAACTTACAGTAGATTTTTTTGATTTTTGACAGAGCATAACTTTGTAAATAAAAAAGGTGATCACCTGAAATTTTGTATGTTAGTAGTGTTTAGCCCAAATAATCCATTTTTGTAGGAGCTTTTGATTGGCTTTGAGAAATTGATGAGTTATTGTACCCTAAAGTTGCTTTAAAATGCAACAGTTGAAGAATTTTTTGGAAACTTTTATGTGCTGCAGTTTAATACCTAAAGACAGGCAGTATCAATTTTTTTCTACTTTTATGTACTTAAGACATAGAAAATAGCGTAAACTTTTTTTTTTTATACAGTGGAAGTTCTATATATAGACAATCACTAAAAAAGATTTAAAGATCTATACTCTATCTTATGACATTTTAGCATTTTGAGTGCAATGCTTATATAGTTTAAAATGATACCTAATAGCACAAGTTATATTATATTTCAAAAAAAAATAAAAAATAAAAATGCTGAAAGAAGAAGTGTATATACGCTTGAAACACAAGTACACTAATTTCTTTATCTCTGATTTACATAACTCATAATATTGTCATCATTATTAGCAAGTTTATAGTCACGAGCACTTTTACCCTTATTAGATAGAGCACTTATTTGACATATTACTTTGTCAAATGGAACCCAACACTTACTTGATTGTGCATCATTAGTCCATTTTAAATTTAATTTGTTTCTATGCATGAATTAACATCATTAATACATTAATATCTTGGTTTTCATTACAAATCTCAAGCACAAACCCTATGTCATCATAAAAACATGAAATGTATTTACCAGGTTGAAAGTTTGATTATTCAGCAAATGGGTATCATATGCAGTATCGATAGAGATTCTCCATAAAAATAATTTCTCTCCACCTGGTACAAATCTGTGATCATCTCTTTATATCGTTTCTTTAGATTAAAATAAGTTTCATGGTTATTGATATCATCACTTGAAGTTCACAATTTTAATATTTTTTTCAGCCTATGTAAACAGTGTAAGAATCTAGTTTGTATTTGCTGATCTTAGACTCACTTTTGCTGCTTCTCTTTTTATTGTTCCTCCTATTCCATCACATGGACTTTTGCCATGGGATGTAGCAAAGAAGTAATGCTCAGCATTTATATTGTGTCCTTCAAGATGGTACAAAGTTTAATAGACATTTGTAATTTTTGTACTGTGACAGCACCATCACTGAAGTATTCTACTTTATTGATTAAGGGTAGTTTGATTTTTATCATGCGGAGTAACTTTGTGAGAAACTCTAGATACTCGAATTTTTCCGATTTTGGTCTATATTGATTGAATTATAACTTTTTCAGGATTTTTTTTTTTTTTTTTGTCATAAAAGCTGTGGGCGGTCAAAATTTAAAGCCAATTTGAGGTGGTACCCTGGGGTACTTTTGAAAAATTAAGCGCATACTTAAGGGTTATTACATATTTCATATGAAATAACCCTTAAGTATGTTCATACTTAAGTCAAAAAATAATATTTTGTGAGTATTTGCAGTGATTGTAGCCTGGGAACAAAAATGTGCCAAAAAATTTGCTTCCACTACCCCTAACATGGGGATAAGTTCATAAAAATTTTGTTTAGCATAATATACTAACCTTAAATTTATAGGTAGGTTTGAATTTTCATTTTAAAAATCTTTTAGTGTTCAAAAGTTACTACCATGTGAAATTAACGACCTACTCATTTTGGGTTGAGCGGAATTTTTGTATTTTCATAACATTTAAAGAAAATTATATGAAACTTAGAACCTGTTGATGAAATCAAATTTAGTAAATATGTTAAATAATTTACTAATTTATTATGTTAAACTTGTATTATGTTTTGTGTTAAAATTTATATTTTATTAACTTGTTGTACTCAATTTAAAAATAAATTAAGGAGGAGGGGCAAACTTATTATAAAAATGGAGTTTACATAATGCCTAAAAGTGTCATACCTGTAACATCAAAAAATCCTGCCAACGCTGTAGCCCCTGCTTTATTTTAGTTAATTTTAGTTAAAATATTCATAAAAATTAAAATTTGAAAGTTTTCTCTATTTTGTTTTCTAGTGGTATTGTTGTTTCAAATTTAAATTTGAAAGTTTTCTTTATTTTGTTCTCTAGTGTTATTGTTCGCTGTAGCCCCTGCTTTTATCTTAATTTAGTTAAAATTATCATAAAAGTTAAAATTTTTATTTATTCTGTTCTCTAGTGGTATTTTGTATACAGTACACATGGTAATTTGTATATAGAAATAATTATAATAGCTGTGGTACAATGATTAATATTTCTTTTTGTGTTTAGGTTCTCGTAGAAAGAGATGGGATGAAACACCTGGTCAATCTACTGATACTCCTGGAAGAACTCCAGGATGGGCAGAGACTCCTAGAACAGACCGACAGGGTTCAGAGACTCCTGGCATGACTCCAACTCCTCATGGTTCAAAGCGCAAATCTCGTTGGGATGAGACTCCTCAAATAAATGCTACACCTGGTAGTGGAACTCCACATGCTACTCCTGCAGGGTCAGGCATGGGTACACCTGCTGGAACACCATCAATAGTTGGTACACCAGGAGTTACTCCAGGAGGAACACTAGCTATGCAAATGCAAACTCCTACACCAGGGCACCTAATATCTATGACTCCTGAACAAATGCAAGCTTACAGATGGGAAAAGGAAATAGATGAAAGGAATCGACCATTAACAGATGATGAACTTGATACTTTAATGCCATTTGAAGGGTATAAGGTAATTGCTTGTTTAATAATAAACGCTGTTGCTCGCGCAAAAGCGAGCAACAACGTTTATTTAAAGAATGCATGCTCAAACCAAAACCTCTAATTGATGTATATACACTCACTGTGCCTATCCCTAAATCAGTGGATGTATGCACAATCACTGCATATATACCTAAATCAGTCGATGTATGTACACTTACTTCATCTATCCATATAGCAGTCGATATTGAAAATAATAAACATAAATGTAACTTTCAATATACAGCAATTATAATAACATTCAATAAAAAAAAATGTTAAAAAACATTTAAAAACATTCTTAAGAATGTAGGACTCGATCCTGGAACTCCGTGAGTTAGAAACAATTGAGATAACACAATGCTAAATGCATGAATTATAGTTGCAATTCTTTTAAAATTTTTACAAATAAAACTTTCAAAATCAACTAATCATATTCGCAGTCGTGACTTAAACTAATCAAACTTTACTACCGTGACTTTTAGATAAAAAATTAAAGCAGCAGTACCGTTGCACTAGACACAACGAATAATAAAATACATTTATTATATTGTTTTTATTTTATATAACCTTAACTTATAGTTTTATGGCTGATTTATTTTTAGGTTCTTCAACCACCTGCAAATTATCAACCAATACGCACACCTGCTCGAAAGCTTATTGCTACACCAACACCATTAAATATGGGAACTGGTTTTCGAATGCAGACTGATGAAAGAGGCAACATCAAAGGTGTTATTGATGAACAACCACCAGGAAATCTTCCAAGTTTAAAGCCAGATGACTATCAGTATTTTGACAAATTGCTTGTAGATGTTGATGAAACAACATTAAGTGCTGAAGAGCAGAGAGAGCGTAAAATCATGAAACTTTTATTGAAAATTAAAAATGGTACTCCTCCAATGAGAAAGGTTATTTCATTAAAATATTTTTAAATTAAATTATTGATGAATAGTCATACCAAATTATATTTCATAATATTTTTTGATTTTAAAGTTAAACTAAAAAAATTTAGGCCGCTCTACGACAAGTTACAGATAAAGCTCGTGAGTTTGGTGCAGGACCTTTGTTTAACCAGATTCTGCCATTGCTTATGTCGCCAACACTAGAAGATCAAGAACGTCATTTATTAGTAAAGGTTATTGACAGGATATTATACAAGCTTGATGACCTGGTCAGACCTTATGTGCATAAAGTAAGATTTACTTTTAATTATGTATATAAACTTTTGTATAACATTTTAAATGTTTAAAAAAAACATTTGTATATACGTTTACTCCTTCAGGCTTTTCAGTATTGTGCTGTCAGATATGTTTCATGCACAAATAAATCTAATGTGGTAGTGCTGTGTGTGTGTGTATATATATATATATATATATATATATATATATATATATATATATATATATATATATATATTTATATATATGTATATATATATATATATATATATATATATATATATATATATATATATATATATATATATATATATATATATATATATATATAAATAAAGTAGTAGAAAATCACTTGACAATTTTTTTTTTTATTTAACACTGTGTTTCATCAATAAAGACTCATCAGAATTTAATGATCAAATTAATAAAACTTCAATTTATACCAAAAATTAATTTTTTTATTTAGAATTTCTTTTTTGTTTAACAAAGCATTATTGTGACCTTTTTATAATTCTTTCCATATTTTTTGTGCAACTGAATCTAACTTTAATTGTATTTCAATTAAAAATTTTATGTAATTTATTAGAGGACTATATATTTTAGATTTATTAAGTAAAACAATCAATATAAATGATTTAGACATTTATCGCGACAATGGTTTAAAAGTAATGGGTAAAAAATCTGGTCCACAGTTCAAAATTATAAATAATATTATAAAATTTTTTATATATATTGGCTTTCAAATCGAAATAAACTTTAATTTAAAAATTGTGAACTTTCTTGACGTCACATTTACTCTCTCTGAAAATTTATATAAGAATTCAAAAAACCAAACAATGAATTTATTGTATATTAATATTAACTCAAATCATCCACCCCAAATTCTGAAACAAATCCTGATTTCAATTAATAACAGACTAAACCAAAACTCTAATGAAAATGTATTCTTAATATAATTTTTAATAAAAAGTTAACTTCTTTTTTATTATTCGTGTAAGGGAATGTTTATTTTTTTAAATATTAAATAATATACATTTTTATTTGAGTTTATATAAAGTCACTTAACCAAAATCGCTTACTGCTTACGTAAAATCGCTTATGGCAAATGTAAATCGCTCTACATTTAACGCTTTAAAACAAATATATATAATAATATTAATAATGCTGAAAATTAGTAGTAGTGCCCTTTCAAGCATGTTTGACACAGAACTTTTGGCAGCCATTATAAGAAAATGTGAATGAATGTTTATGCGAACATCTAACTTATGTAAACTTCAAACTATGTTAAAACATATCAAGTTTTACAGTTTTATTTTCACTTGAAAATTGCATTGTAACAACATCTCCTTAATTTTGATCTATAGCATTTATTTCTGTTTTATAAACTCTTTTGTTTCTTAAATAGTTTCCCAGCTAGACAATACTCCTGTGGGTATCTTGCGGAGTTTCTAAAGCCAAGTGCTAAGGTTCAAATCTTATCACTAGAATCTTTTTTTTTTTTTAAATTTTTTTTGATTTTTCTAAAATACAAAATAAAACATTTTTGAAGTTTAACAGATATTATATACATAACGTATGTAAAAATACTGTACACTGTAACAAATAAAAGAATTTAAATAAGAGAATTTTTTAAAAGCTTTAGAAGTTTGTTGCGGTTATGTCAAGATAGTAATGTTATTAATGTGCTCAAGTAATTAGGTCTAATAAGCTTTGGATGGTCTGACAAAAAATTATGGTCTGAAACTTAAGAAAAAAATTATTAGGCCCATCCTGCTACTCCAGTAGGTGCTGCTTTGGAGGCAAAAAAAAAAATTAACCCACAGCTAGTTAAAACTTTATTTTAACAAATAAAAAATCTTTTTGCTATATTTATTTTTTGCTAATAATATATATGCCTAGATTGAAAAAAATTGAAAATGTTATGTATTAAGGGGCAAATTTGACACACTTACCTCCTTGTGACCCCTTTTCCTGGTCCTCTTGCTTTGTAAATTTTATATAGTCTTGATGAATGAATAAAATTTTAAGATTTTAATTTTTCAAGTCTTGAATTTTGGAAAACTCTGCAAAAAATGTCACGCAATTGCCATCTATGTTACAGACACTTATGTTAAGTGTTTTCAAAAGTTAATCTTTGCATCTAGGACATTAAATTTCTACCATTTGTTAAAATAACATTAAAGTAAAGAAATAGAAGATAGATAAATAGCTAAATAATATAAAAATAGAGTTAGGTGTGAAATTAACTCCATCGATCTTTTACGGTTCATGACAGCTAGTATATAGATATTTGCAGCCAAAAATTGTTTAAAAATATCCCCCATTACATTATTTTTTCCAGATTTTTGTTGTGATTTTTAATGGTAATTTTTTTAATTAAAATTAATCTTTTATTTAATTATTTTTTACAGGTTCTTGTGATGATTGAACTTTTGTTAATAAGGGTAATCTGACCTGAAATATAACCTCGATAGTGACTGAGATAATTTATTAATCTTATCTTGTTTTTTTGTTTTTTGTTTAGATTCTTGTGGTGATTGAACCTTTGTTAATAGATGAAGATTATTATGCACGTGTTGAAGGCAGAGAAATTATTTCAAACCTTGCCAAAGCTGCTGGCTTAGCTACAATGATTTCCACCATGAGACCTGATATTGATAACATAGATGAGTATGTGCGAAACACGACTGCAAGAGCTTTTGCTGTTGTTGCTTCTGCCCTCGGTATTCCTTCTTTGCTTCCCTTTTTAAAAGCTGTATGTAAAAGCAAAAAATCATGGCAAGCACGTCATACTGGAATCAAAATTGTCCAACAAATTGCTATTCTTATGGGATGCGCTATATTGCCTCATTTAAGAAATCTTGTTGAAATTATTGAGCACGGTACATATAACATAAATAATTAATTTAAATTTTTATTTAAAATTTGTTACTCAAGCTTGATTAACTTTTATTTTGTATTTTATTGAATATTTATTTTTAAGGTTTAATTGATGAACAACAGAAGGTTAGAACTATTACTGCTCTTGCTATTGCTGCGTTAGCAGAAGCTGCAACTCCATATGGCATTGAATCTTTTGACAGTGTTTTAAAGCCACTTTGGAAAGGTATTAAGCAACATCGTGGTAAAGGTCTAGCTGCATTTCTTAAGGCTATTGGTTATCTAATTCCACTTATGGATGCTGAATATGCATATCATTACACAAGGGAAGTAATGATTATTTTAATTCGAGAGTTTCAATCTCCCGATGAGGAAATGAAAAAAATTGTACTGAAAGTCGTTAAACAGTGTTGTGCTACAGATGGTGTTGAAGCTAATTATATAAAAGAAGAAATATTGCCTGAGTTTTTTAAACATTTTTGGACACATCGCATGGCACTTGATCGTAGAAATTATCGCCAATTAGTTGATACAACTGTAGAAGTTGCTAATAAAGTTGGTGCAGCTCACATAATTGGCAGAGTTGTTGACGATCTAAAAGATGAAAATGAACAATACAGAAAAATGGTTCTTGAAACAATTGAAAAAGTTATGTCAAATCTTGGAGCATCTGAAGTTGATTCACGACTAGAAGAACAGTTAATTGATGGAATTCTTTATGCTTTTCAAGAACAAACTAATGAGGTATTATTTAACTACTTTTGATTATTTTTTAAAATAAATCAATTGTGCTGCTAATTATTTTCTCAAAATAATATTTTTTAGAAATTTTAGAGTTTAGGATTTATCCTACTGCATACTATAAAGTTTTATAAAGGCTTTTGTAATCAGAAGCTCTGTAATAAGCCTATGAAGAGTCAATTTTTTCTAACAGTTACTTTATCTTCAATAAAAATCTTCAATAAAAAAGTTTTCAATATCTTCAAATCTTCAACAATAAAAACTTTTTTAAAAAAATTAATTGAAAAAAGGTGGGGGGGAGGAGGGTATTTCAAAAACCATTGTATGGACCCCTTAGTTTGTAGTTTTAAATTATAAAGCTGTTTTTGCCTTTTAGCTTGAAAGAATTACTAATATTAGTTATTGTGCTTTACACCTTTAACCTGATTTCATTCCTACATATATTAAAGTTTTTGTGTGTGTGTGATAAATTAGACCAATTATTGATTTATAATAATAAACATAAGTTCACTGGCCACTTCAGTCTGATGTTATGGGCAAATTAAAGAGATTTTGATTCACAACTTTTTCATGCACGATATAAAACAATTTTATTAAGAATTAAGAAACTTGTGTAAAATTGAAATTATAAATTAAGTTAATAATTTTTGAAGATATTTTTTAGTTTTGCATTTCTAATATCATTCTTGCAAAAAAAAAATTAGTTATTTATTACTAATATCTAAAATTGATTTGATTTGATTCAAATGCATTAAGCACTTCATAGCTTTATAATTTATAATTTATTCTTTTTTGAAATTGTGACTACTACTGAACTTCTTTTTTATAAATGTTTAGTCTAAAAACTTTTGTGTAATGTCTTGGTGATAAAAACTTGTTTAATTCTTGATCTCTATAATCTATCTCTATAGAAACAAGTTAGTAAGATAACTTAATAAGTAGATATACTTTTATATAAAAGGTTTTGCAACTCTATGAAGAATATGGTGTTGACAACTAGTTGTATTGTTGTTTTATGAGACATTTGCATCTTGTAGCCCTACAACATTTCTATTGTCACACTATATTCACTGTTGTTGTGTCACATGACCATTCTCTTATTTACTGGCAATAAAATTTATTCAACCAGTTTTTCTATCTTTTGTTGGAGCATTTTATTTTTTAATGACACATTTTACATTTTGATGCGCGCAATTTCTGCACATTACTTTTAAGTTGTTTGCTCTTCAAACAAACAACTTAAAAGTAATGTGCAGTTTTTACATTGAAGTTATTTTCATATTTGGTTTATTGCAAAACACTTGATCATGATAATATTTTTTATTGTTGATTACAATGATTCTTTGGTTCGAATATTGCTAATAGATGCAGCTTGGCTAGTTAATGTGGATCATTCAACTTAATGTGGATCACTCAGCGCACCAGTCTGGTTTTCTTAAATAAAGTCCCTCTTTGGGATGGTAGCCCTTTTTGGGAAGGTAGCATTATTAAAATAAAGATTAAAGATTTTTTGTAAACAACTTGTGATGTGATATCAGGCCTTGTGATGAATAAAAACTGCGCGACGGATTAGCACGACGTGATTTTTGATGTCATTAAATTCTTTTTATTTGCTTTTCATATTTATCGATGTTAACTGCATGAATTTACTTAATTACCGCAAAACTACTTTTAATCATTAACGTAGAAATGTTATTATTTAAAAATGTTTTGGAATGTTTCGTTTTTTAAAATGTAAAAATCTTGGTTTATTTTCTCGACGTTTTGTCTACTAAACGAATAAAAAATATTATAACTAAACATTTAAAAAACATTATAAAATATGCTAATATTTGATTTTCTCAAATATGTAATTTAAAGTTTTTTAAATAATTATTTTTTCTTTTTAAAAAGTCAGCAAGTAATAAACTGGAAATTTTAATATTGTACAATTAAAAACTGTGCAATAGCTAATATTTTTACTTGCGATTTTATATAATATTTTTTTATTTTCATAAAGCGGTTGATAAGCACAATCACTCGTATTACTAAAAAACTTTAACGAACATTTTGAATACATTTTTAATGTTTACAAGGAATTTTACTTTTGGTAAAATAAAATAAAATGTTAGAATAAAAATCTTATAGATATAAAAGACATATTTCAGCAAAAAAATTATTCTTAAAAATTATTATTAAAAGTTATTCGAAAAACTATTGACGTTCTATTTTTCAGCAGCTGTTCTTGAGCACGCTTCGTTGAGTTACGGTAACTTTTAACAAAAAAGCAATTGTTATTATTTAAGTAATTTTTTTTTGAGTTACTTTTTACAAAAAATTTAATAGCTGTACTTTTTTATTTAATCAAGTAGAATACGTTTTAATATTAATCCTTTTATTTTTATTTATTTGCGCTTACCAATTTTTAAAATGTTTCCTCGAAATTACTCTTAAATTCTTTAAATACGTCTAACAGTTTATAAACATTTTTAAATCTATGGAATAATTTTAAAACCTAACAAACCCCCGTAAAATAATTATTAAAGTTAAAAATCTAAAACTCAAAGAAAGTTTTTTTGTTCAATTTTATCGACAACTTTGTTATTGCTGAATAATTTTATTAAAATGTTAGCTTAAAAAAATTTAAACTTTTTTTTTAATCTGAATTTTTTCTACTTGTGAATAATGAGCATATTTAATTTTTTGTAATTCAAACTTTTATATCAACTGCGTGCGGTTTTTAAAATACTTTATTAAATGTTAAAATAAACGTAAATTACTTCATTAAAATTCCGCTCAAAAATATCTTTAAATATACTCAAAAAAATTTTTTTTTTGCTCGACGCAATCAGCCCTAGCTAATTGCGTCGAGCAAAAAACACGCAAAATCGCTCTTGGACGACATAAAATTCACATCGCCCGACGCTTTATCGCATGGCCTGTGATATATGAGATATACACATGTATGATTTCATTTGTTTTAGTAATTGTTGTATTAATTCTACTTTGTCAATGTTAGTAATGACATAATATATATATTTTTTTTTATTCAGCCATATCAATAAAAACTTACAAATCTCATCGTAAATTAATAGAATTTGGTTAGGTGTCACTCATATAGTAACAAACTAGTCAATGGAGTGACACCTATAAAACATAAAATTCTCGAAAAAAAATAAAGAAATAAAAATAATAATAAATAAATAAAATATTTTAAAAAAAGAAAATATATATATATATATATATATATATATATATATATATATATATATATATATATATATATATATATAAAAGAGAGAGAGAAAAAGGAAAATTAGTTAAACAAATAATAATGATATATAATAATTATAGTAATAACAATACTAATAAAGTATGAATAATATTAAGAATATTTACAATACAGTACATACAATATAAATTGTATGTACATATCATAGATAATAATTAAATATAATAATAACATTAAAAGTAGCAATAATAACACGATAAATAAATTATAAATAAATATAATATAGATAAATAATAAATAAAGCGAAAATCAAACCACTTGCTCGATAATCAAATTATATAATAAAGACAACTACTGTACAGAGATAAATTATAAGGAAATACACTCTAACAATATATTTTTTAATTGAATTCTGTAAGCAGTAAATAATCCGTAACAAGAGGATATATTTTTTTAGACTTTTTCATTAATGCAAGAATATGCTGGTTCCAATCGGAAATACATTGTTGTTTTATGGAAAACATACCATATTTAATTGTGTTGAAAATAGAAGAGTATAGCTTACTATTTTCTGTATTCCTGGTGTGATGATTATGAATTTCATTTGTTTTAATAACAACAACAACATCAGCAACTAGCTATTTATTTTCCGTAAATCATTTTACAATAGTTTTGATAATGATAATAATAATAATAGTAATAATAGCAAAAGTATATAATAATAACATAAGATAAAAAATAATAATTATACAAATTTATAGTAATAATAATAATAAGTATGTTTACAATAATTACAATGAAAAAATAATAATAACTAATATTAATATAATAATTAGTTAATGATTTATTAGGATGGTGTCACTCATACAGAAATCTGATCAAAGGAGTGACACCAAGAGAAAAATATAAAAAAACAGTTTAATAAAGAGTTTGGTAGTTTAATTTGGAGAAAGTCAAACACAAAAAGACAATTGTAAAACTTTACAAGATCATGGAGTTTTAGGATATTTAGTTCAGAAAATTTTTTTTGGATATTCATTGGCAAAAACATCATTATTCTAATAGATGCGCGTTGTGAACTAGTAACATACTGTTAGCTTGTGTAAGTTTTTTTTTAAGATGATACAGTTGATTTTGCTAAGATAGGTTTTCATCAAGATATATTCCAAGATACTTTATATATTTTGACGAGAAAAGTTTTTTTCGGGTAATTTTAATTTTAATAGTATCAATAGTTTTTCGATGGAAATGAAAAATAATGTATTCCGTTTTATTGACATTCAAGAAAATACGATTACTATTTAATCAGTTACATAGGCGATAAAGATCTTAAATAACTATTTTGCAAAGAGTCATAAGTGATTTGTTGATATATAAAAGATTGGTATCATCAGCATAATGATGTATCAGAATTTTTTAATGAACAAGATAAATCATTTATATATAATAAAAACAATAACGGTCCGAGAACGGAACCTTGTGGAACGCCATATTTAATAACTTTATGTGTGGATTCAAATCCATTAATTGAAACAAACTGAGTGCGATCCCTAATATATAAAGAAAACCAATGATTAGCAATACCACATATTTCGTAGTAGTTTAACTTTTTTATTAGAATGTTATGATCAATCATATCATAAGCTTTTTAAAGATCTATAAATACATCACAAACAAAGGAACCACTGTCAATTGCACCACAAGTCATTTTAGTAATGCTAATAAGAACATGAGAAGTGGAGTGATTTGAGCGAAACCTAAACTGTCCAATATGAAAACAAGCAGAATTATT